AGTTGTCAATGTTCACAGACAAGCAACACTGCGTCAAATAACCGCAGAAATCAATGTGGGACGTACGAGGGACGTGTCCGATAGGACAGTGCGGCAAAATTTGTCTTCCTTGGGCTATGCCAGCAGAAGACCGACTCGAGTGCCTTTACTGACAGCACGACATCGCCTGCAGCGACTCTCGTGGGCTCGTGAGCATATCGGTTGGTCCCTAAACGAATGGAAAATCGTGGCTTGGTCAGATGAGTCATGATTTCAGTTGGTAAGAGCTGCTCGTAGGGTTCGAGTGTGGCGCAGACCCCACGAAGCCATGGACCCAAGTTGTCAACAAGGCACTGTTCAAGCTGGTGGTGGTTCCATAATGGTCTGGGCTGTTTTTACATGGCATGGACTCGGTCCTCTGGTGCAACTGAACAGATCATTGACTGGAAATGGATACCTTTAGCTACTTGGAGATCACTTACAGCCATTCATGGACTTCACGTACTTAAACAACGATGGTATTTTTATGGATGACAATGCGCCATGTCACCGGGCCACAATTGTTCGCGATTGGTTAGAAGAACATTCTGGACAATTCCAGCGAATGATCTGGCCACCTAGATCGCCCGACATGAATCCCATCGAACATTTATGGGACATCATCGAGGGGTCAGTTCGTGTCCAAAACCCTGCACCGTCAACACTTTCACAATTATGGACGTCTATAGAGGCAGCATGGCTCAATATTACTGCAAGGGACTTCCAACGACTTGTTGAGTCCATGCCACGTCGAGTTGCTGCACTTCGCCGGGCAAAAGGAGGATCGACAAAATATTAGGAGGTATCCCATGACTTTTATCACAGTGTAGTTGTCTACATCTTGCATTTGCATCACACATCAAGGAACACATAACAATAAATTGCGCCTATCTTCAAACCAAGACTTATTTTACAAAACCTGCAGTCTACACGGAAACAATCTTAAACTCCCTTCAAGGCATCCAAATCACGGCCGTAAGAAGTCTTTATCAAAACGCCGTTTCCTGCAGACAGCCCAGTAGCCAAGTTCCCATTAAGGAAAAGGAAAACAATTTCACGTTCTTTACTAATCTCACTTGATATCGAAGTAGCATTTGACATAATACACTGGGCAGATACATTAAATATACTCAAATCTGTTCATTGTCCAAACCAATTATTTCTACTACTAAAGGACTACTTCCATAATAAGACTCTTAAATATACTTCAAATTCTGGAATCAGTACATTTAATATCACAAGAGGATATACACAAGGATCTTGCTTGGGCCCAACAATCTGGAACTTACTAGCAAATGAAATCTTAATAACCTTCGACAATATCCCTCACAACAAAACACCCAAAAACAAACAAACTTCTCACACTATCAAACGCAATCAAAATAACAACAACAAAAACTTGGAGAGTATCTTCACAATTACAAAAAATCTGATGTGTACACCACATGACTTCCTTGTACGGAATATTAAATTATACGCATTTTTCTTGCATTTTATTTAAACTTATTAGATTGAATTAAATCTACTTCGCAGACAGCGCATAAACCACAATACAATAAATGCATTCTTTAACATTCACTCTATTTGTTTACCATAGCAACACTTTTGCGCTAGGTTCACTTAACAGTATTATATTTCGTTCATATCAGTTGAAGCCAGGCTATGCTATTTCTTAGTTTTTGAATTAAGTTGTAATTCCAACCGGATCTTCCAACAAGAGAAGATCCTGCATTTTATTTTACTTTTTGCTTCTTATCAATTCAGTTTATTAAAAATTTCTTATCTCTTTGCGTTTCATTGAATTTAATTTTAATTATTTTAGTTACTTTATTTGTTTATTTTTTTTCACCTTTCCACAGGCCTTCCATAGACTCCGACTCTTCTAATTTCAGAAACTAAGCCCTTTGGTAAATCTCAAGTAAAGACTGTGTTGGTGACTTATCTTGATTTAAAAAGGTTTAAAAATAATTTATTCCTGAAATGAACTCTATATTAGCTAAATAAATAATCGATAGGCTTCTGATAATAATTCAGGTCGTTAGGCCTAAAGAAACGATCTCACGAATAACTGGTTTCCGTTGTGTGACAGTGCGCCTTCACGCTATACGCTTCTCTTCAAGCAGTTTCTAATGAAAAAATGAAAAAAAAAAGGGTCACAATTTTCACAATTTTCACCCCCCCCCCTCAGTTCACCAAATTTTACATCTGTTGACTACTATCGCTATAACTTGAGTGTTAAAGAGTCCTCTAAAGGATTTCTATGAAAGAATCGAAAGGTCGAAAGGCTATTTATTGGAGGCTAAAAAAGTAAAAATGCTTTTTTTCTGTAACTTTCAATCTTAGATGAACTTAGTCCTGAAATTTTGTAAACGAAATGCGTATGTCATTTGCACAGAGATTTTCTTATCAAATTCGAAGATATTAGATATTTCAGTACTATTATATTGAGTCGTAAACTGTAAAAAAGTTTTACAATGCAGACCAAATGAATTTTTGTCATCTTATGATTAGACTTGTCATTGTATGATCACTGACGATGAAACTTGTGCAGAAAAAGATTGCTAAAACTCCAAACTCACAATTATTTATAATCATGATAAGTTTTTTTTAACTCGTGCGGTTTTAAAATTTGCTCTTATAGTTGTAAATGCTAATGCATTTGAAGTGTAGTAGTCCTTTAATTTTCATCCTGTGTTTTTTTACTTTCTATACGAGAACGTTCGCTTATTAATTTAACACATTAGTTGAAATAAAAATAAAAGTTTAAAACCCATTTTTAACTACAAATGTTAAATATTATCTTTTAACAACTTAAATGAACCGAAAAAATCACAAGGAAAATGATGAAATTGTTCGCTCCAAAAATATTCCCGAGCAATTTGTTGTTAAAAAAAAAAAAAAAAAAAAAAAAAAAAAAAAAAAAAAAAAGAAATACGAGTATCTTGGATTCCTAAAGTGCCATCAATCAAAAGGTGGGTTGAAGCTGCTACCACTAGCATCCTGGGCGTACGGCGAGTGACAAATCCACCATTTGTTCCTTATGTTTGAATTTAAGAACCCGATGTAAACAAATGCAACAAAAACCTGAGCTAGATACCTAAAATTATTTTTATAATTAGGTATAATATTATTTAATACTTTATGAGTAATAACAAAAATTCAGAACTAGATATATAAAGTAGATCTTTTCTGCTATATCACAACACACTCCAGAGAAGTTTCTGTAAAAAGATACATTTGTGAATATTCTTTATGAACCACTTTTAAATCAAATGTTGTTTATACCTCTTATAAAAATGTTCATGTTTCCGAACTAAGTACTGTCAACAAAAAGTTTTTAAAATTTCTGATGTTTAAAAACATTTCACCTTATTCAAAATGAATTAATAACAGAAAGATGTTTTCTCGGATTATTTTAAATTGCCACATGTATCTTTCTACAGAACATTGTTTGGCACCTCTTGTCTAATAACAGAAAAGATTCCACAAAACTATTTTCATAATGAAAAATAATGAAAATAGTTTTATGTATCTAATTCCAAATTTTGTTTTTCAATTCTTAAGTAAGTCTGGTATGATATGTTCGCTTTTTACTGTGCATTAGTTTTCATGATTACGAACTGCATGAGACTATTTTTAAATGCGGTCGAGGATAATTCTTAAATTTCACGTTCGGAATGACAGAGCGAATGGTCATTTAGCTGTCTCATCAGCAAGAACTTTACTTAGAATGCACCTCATGAAACTATCTATTGGTCCCTGTGGGGTGTAGGAAGTTACAAACATCCACGTTTTTCTATGATTCGGACCAGGTACAACCATACTGTAGCCGGTTCCGCTAACAATAATGCTAACCAGTAGAGTATATCAGGATTATTTTCATCAATTTATAAATTTAAAAATGTTTTCTTCTTTTAGAAATTAAAAGAGCAGAAACTTGAGCTCACATGATCTTTGAGATAGTTATAAACGCTTAAAATAATTCCTTTTTTCCTTTTGGCAATATACTCGTTTGAAATCAATTTAAAGTAAAATAATCAGTAAGCATGCACTAAATTTTTAAGCTTTTAACTAGCAAGCATTCTTCTGAAATAGTAAGAATCATCAAACCTTTCAGCTTACAATTAAGAGTGTAGGGATTTATATTTATTTTAACTAACAAGTGAAAGTTTAATTTCAAACTTTCCTATAGGCCTTTATTCCCCTGATTGTCAGTGCCAGAATATTTAAATTTTACAGCGCGCGTGGGGGAATGCAAATTTTTACTTTGAAGAAAGTATTTAAAAGCTGAATTTAAATGGGAAAAAAAGAGAGTTGGGCTACAACCGCCACCTCTGCCATAGATACGGTTGCTTATTGCTGGTTCATGTGGCTTAATTGCATTTAATTGCTGCCACTAATTTCGAAGGGGTGGGGGTTAGTAACAGGATCTCGCTGAGCCCTGTAGTTTAGTTCTATCACTTGTTAATACCTTCAAATTTTAGTTTCATTATTTGATTTTCAGTTACCTCCCAAGCAGAGGCGAAGTTTGTTAGCTCGAGTTGACGCATTGTAAATTTTAGTCAGTGCAATTTTTTCTATTTCCTTGTATAAATAAAAGTCTTAAAGAGAAATTTAGTGTATAAAAAAGCAATTCATAGTTAAGGTGTAGGAAAATACGGTTCTTGCCTTTAATAATATTCTGCGTGTCAAGACCCAAAACTGGGACTGTTTCCATGTTTTCAATAGTGGGCTAAACTTTGGGAAAAGTATACTGATGCTCACTGAAAACAGTTAAAAATTTAAAATATAAGTGTAAAGTATATTATGATTGCTTAAAAATAAATCCGATTATTTTGGGGTATCCTTCGTAATTTTAGTAGACACAAGATCAATATCTTAAGTTTCTCTCTTGTCTAAATTTTTTTATCTATTTTTAAGCCAATTTCTTAGTTTTACAAATTTTAATATACACACATAATACTTTTGATACGTTTTTTTAGATTTTGGTTAAGAAACTTTGAAAATCAAGTCATTCTGCAACCATGTCTGGCCTTCTTGGAGTCACTGACTATGTGGTGATCAGCTTGATGTTGGCAGTATCGGCGTCCGTGGGTCTTTTCTTCCGTTTCACAGGTGGACGGCAAAAAACAACACACGAGTTCTTAATGGCCGGAAAGAATATGAGCATCTGGCCAGTGGCATTCAGTCTGATGGCGACCTACATGTCGGCTATTTCCGTGCTGGGATTGCCAGCGGAGACATATATGTACGGAACTCAGTTTGTGATGTGGATGATCGGTATGCCATTCGGTGGTCTCGTGGCTGCCTATGGATTTCTACCAGTCTTCTTCGATATGGAAGTCTCCACAGCTTATGAGGTAATTGTTATTCGACTAAAATCATAGCTAAGAATCAGTTTAAGGACCCATTTAAGAATAGCATTACATTTATTCCAAAAATATTACATTTAAGATTTTAAAATTAAAAACAGATAATATAAAACTTAATTTTTTCCAGTACCTAGAGAAGAGATTTGGAAAAATGACAAGAACTATTGCTTCGCTTCTTTTTACTGTGCAAATGGTAAGTTATGGCTATTTATAATATTTTCCACGCTGAAGAGTAAAATAAAATTTTCTGTTGTATTTTTCAACACAAAATTCTTATTACTACCAGAGGTATATTAGTCTATTTGTCTCGAAACTCATTTTTTGTCCGTATCACTATTGTGTTCGAAACAGTTTTAAAACTACTACCTTTAAATGTCATCGCCATATATAATTTTCAAAGAAATTATTTTTTTAATAATGACGAATATGTGTATTTGTATGTTCCTCGCATTGCGGTAAAAAAAACGCCATCTATAACCATCAAGTTTTGAATACAAGGTTGTCGCCCATCCGAACAATGTGCGCCTGGAAGTACGGATTTCCAATTTCCAATTTGTTTTTTACTTATTGCGAATAAACTGGTCTTTTTAAACAAATATTTTAATGGAACGTTAAGTTAATGCATTAAAATTTGTTATTGAAAATTTGTTTATAATCGGTTACGAAATTTATGTACTAATTGTTTAAGAAATGTCTTTCCTGTGATGCAAGAAATAATTTATTTTCCATTTGATCTTCAGTCTGAATCCTTAATATAGGAAGTATTTCATAAGTACCAAACGTGATAACCGTAACATAAAAAATAACTATAAAAGAAATTTATTAAATCGAATTTTAAAATGTATATAAATTCTGAATTTAATCATAATAGTGCATATAAATTCTGAATTTAATCTTTCTATTGTATATGACAGGTATTTATTTATATGCTTGTAAAATATGTAAAACTTCTTTTCAAATTACGCCCGATATGCAACAACGTGAGATAATATGAACTCATAAAGATAAGACATGTTTATGATTTTTTCAAAAAAAAAAAAAAAAAAAAAAAAAAGAAAAGAAAGAAAAAATGCTCCTTGGTCGAACTTATGTGTTTGTGATCAACGAAATGTATCTTCCATAGTGTTAAAGATAACAGAGAGATGCTTATCGCAGGTATCGTTGATTATTGAAACATTTTGAATTCAAAATGTCGTTATTAGTGAAAGTAGTTTTAAAATATTTAAATTCGTATGGTTCCCATTATTTTCACTAGCCAGTTATTTTAATTTTGGTATCTTTTCTGAATTGTCTTACTTTTCCTCGCATTTACTAGCCAGGCTGCAAAATTAAGTAGGTGAAGGAAAGTGTTTAAACGGGTGAAATGGAAATGTAAGACAGAGTATGATTTCGCTAGTGAAGCTCAAGTTTGCTAGTTTGTTCTCTAGCTGTTAATCTTAGTAGCGGCTACGCATTCTGACCGTCTAGTTTATATCGTCGGTACAGGTTTCTGAGTCAGCCTGTTAGATTAAATAAAATTGTGTGTGTAATATGAAAGCGAACCAGTTTCCCTTAAAACGTCCTCCATAAAAGAATTTCATCTCTTAGACGGATATTTCTAGCATGTTGTGCTATAATCAAAGGACCCATATTTTGAAATAATTTGTAGCGAAAGAAAAGCTTTTCTTAATTATTATCTGTGCTCATAATATTTCGATTAATATCAACAATGCTGTCTAATTTCAGGTTTCTGAAAGCTACCTGAACTTCCTGCCTACCAAGTTAAAAAAAAAATCTTCTAAACCCATTATTTTTCAGATATTTTACATGGCTGTTGTCTTGTATGCTCCGTCTTTGGCCCTTAATGCAGTTACTGGACTGTCAACATGGACATCTGTAATTTCTCTAGCTGTTGTGTGCACATTTTACTGCTCATTGGTAAGTTTACTGTTCTTTATTATCTGATAACGAAGCGTTATTAGAAAGTCATTTATTATAAGTCAAATTCAATTCCTTAGAAACTAGCAACAGAAAATGCAGCTTATTTTAAATTTAATTTTTTAGTAGAATTTAAACTAAGAAATAAGCAACGCAACATAAGATATATATAACTTTTATTAGTAGAGATCAGTTTATGTGAAGTGAAGATTTTTCTAAAATTTTTATACATGGATTATACATTTTTTGCCTGGGATATTCCGTTGGTGGCATAAAAGTACAAAAGTTGCAGTAAAGGGAATTTTTCCATTATCTTCATTAACACAATAAATTATTGCCATCTTATAATTTTCTTAATTTTTTATTAAATTGAATTTGGAGGAGTTAAAACGTTATTTATTTTTTTTTCAGTAACAGGTTTTCTGACAATAATAAAATAGATATCTCTATTTTTCAGTCATAAAAATGGCAACCTTACACTAAACAAGCATACTGTTTGAAATAAAAAAAACTCTACAAAGTAATATAATGAGAAAACAATTCCCAATTTAAATGATTTAACTTTATTTCCAAATACGAAGTGCATAATAATGTTACATGATATCACGTGTGTTAAACTTGAAATTAATTTTAGGGTGGTCTGAAAGCTGTTCTCTGGACAGATGTATTTCAAGCTATCCTGATGTATGTCACTATAATAGCCGTTGTCGCTAAAGGTTGTATTGACACGGGAGGAGCATCGGAGGTGCATAATATTGCAAACAAAGGTGGCCGTATCATTTTGTTCAAGTAAGTTTCTGTACTGTCATCTAATTTCTTCATTCACGCAGTGTCAGTGTACACATTCTATCATTTCCAGAAGTTACCAGTTTAAGAGCCTTTTCTTAGTTTTTATTAAACATCTGCTTTAACTTCTACAAACAATCTAAGAAATTACTGCAAAATTCATTACAATGTCTTTTTTGGAAAATTTAAAATCAGTTACATAATTAGGAAATAAATCTTACATAATTCTGTTTTAAATAATAAGCTTTTTCATGTATATATAAAAATAATTTAACATTGGAACAAATTTTATAGTAATAATGCCTCTCATTTTTAGACGAATAGAAACTTTTTTTAAAGTAAATATAGAGATTCTTTAAAATATCAATAATATGCATATCCCATTTTCTGTTTTACATTCACATTCTTTCTCCGTACCTTTATAATACTTTCAAGAAGATAAAGAAGTATTAATAAACAGGAGGATAAAACATTAAATACTTTCAACAGGCTTATATGAGAAATACTTCGTAATTATCTTGGGAAAATTTTTTAAAAATGTACTAACATGTTTATGAAATTCTTAATTTTTATGAAAATTAACATAAACTTCCAAAATGTAAAGTTTTCATAATTTTCAGTTCACATTAAAATTTTGAAATGGTGCAAGTTTTAATTTTTAGCGATAAATCTTGATGAACAATTATTTTTGATTAGCATACTTACAATTAAGAGTGTAGGGTTATGAGTTTTAGAATTGAAAACAATTTATTGCAAGTTATATAAATTAATCTTAATTTTTCATTGTTATTCATTTTGTTTTCAGCACATCTGTTGACTTCACAGCCCGATATACGTTATGGAATTCTATTATATCTGGAATGTTGTTCAGTTTTCATACGTTTGGCACAAATCAAGCGCAAATACAGAGGATGCTGAGCGTTGGGGACTTGAAAAAAGCACAAATGTAAGTTTCTTTAAAAGGCATTCATCGTTTTGATATTGCCTTTTCAAACATTTCTCTTGAAATATTTTGCCTTCGTATAGATATTATACTGTAACTTTTGATTAGACAATAAATTTAATATTTGAGTCATCAGCTTTTTCTTAATATTGAAGCGAAAGTTAAAAGTAATTTATGTATAAACATCACTACACCATTACTTAGTATAGACAGTGCGTCTGCGAAGTCTTAGGAATACAATATTTTAGACAAATTCAAGAAAACCTTCCAAATGATAACTGAACGTAAAGCAAATTAGACTTCCCAATTTGCTTTTCCTAAAATATAGCCCGCTGACGAAAACATTTTCATTCCAGTTAATCGTTGCTTTCATCTAGTGAGCATTTGCTATCATGTATTCGAAAGCTGACCAAAGAATAATAATAAATTGTCATGACGCAGAAAAAAAGGGGCAACTAAATCATTTTTGATAGTATGTAAAGCGTGTAAATAAAGCAGTAAAATATTCGAATGGTTTTCGTTGTCGTAGACGATTTCATCATGAACGCGAAAATATTGATGATGAACCTAGGAAAAATGGCCGCTTTTCCAACGGATGAAAATATCACAAAGGTTCGGCAATTGTTGCTGAAAAATCGTCACTTATACGAATGATAGCCTTCTTATCATTCCTCCATAAAAAAAACCATAAAAATTGTCATCAAATAATTTTGAATAAAAGAAAAAGATATTCTTTTTTTTCACGTACTTTTCTTGCTGCAGTACTGGAAGGTAAAATTTCTCCAAGTCATGATTCGATCTAGATGATTGACATTAATCCTCATGTTTTCACTCAAACTGTGATTGGATATTAAACTGGTTGCTTTCCTTAAGATCCTAAATAAAATGGCAATCATATGCTTGAATTGGAAAAGATTTAATGCAAATTTTGAGAAATTCGTTGCAGTACAAATTAAATAATAGCCAAATTAAAATTATCATTATAACATATAATTCATGAAAAAGTAACAGAAACTGCTTTCAGCAAGTTAAATGTACCACTTAAAAGTTTCAAATCATAAATCAAATTTTAAACAAATTATTTGCCTGGAACTTCCCTATGACAGACTATCAGATGATCATTAGTAAAAACACTTATTTGCTTGAAATTTCCTGTATCTGATTTTCAGTTGAAAAGTACAAATCCAGAAGCTATCACTTAAGAACTGCAGTTTTCAAACGTCACTTTAATGCATAATTAACTTCAGCGGGTAATAAGGGTGCGAAACAGAAGTACTTACAGCAAAAACTAAGTTTAATATCTCATTTTCAATTTACTCTATTATCAGTTACAGTTCAGTTAGTGCTTATATCCAATCCTTACGCTTCTTTGTTACGTTATTCGTAAGTGAGCTGTTGTGCATACAAAATAGAAGTAAAAGCTGATAGGAAAAATAAAAAAGGAAAGAAAGAAAAAGCTGTCAGGTTTTATATTACTCCCAAACGGGAGTTTCTTTCACTTATAGACAAATACACATTTCCAGAGCATTTAAGCTAACGCCACATTGAGCAAAAAATATTTGAAAACAGCATATCTTTAGAATTTCCGATAGACAGTCTCTCGTGCTTAAGGATATGCTCATTTTAAAATTATTTTGCGATAATGCTGTTGAACTGAATTTTATGGTTTAAGTGTGAAAAACATGATATTTAATAAATAAAGGTAATACACAAAACGTTAAAAAAGCTCCCCTTTGGACGTAATTTAAAATCTGAAACCTTTCACATTTTTTTTTTTTAAATCTTTTATTAAAGTTATTTATACCAAATATTTTTATGTTCAATCTTAAGTCCATTTAATGATGGTTATAGATTTATACACTGTAGTTATTATTAAATAAACTAAAAATATATAAATTAACATTATTTTTCAGGGCTCTCATTTTGAGTCTTCCTCTGATACTGTTTTTCAACATATTTTGCTTCTGGGACGGTGTAGTTATTTATGCCAGTTTTCATGACTGCGATCCCATGCAAAATCCTGCTAGCGGCCTCAGTTCTCCTGATCAGGCAAGTAGAAATCCTGTTTTTAATGTTCTAGGGGTTATTTTAAGCTTCTAACAACTATTTTAAATTTAAACATGCTTCACTGTCTATTATCGTTCCCATCTAATCTTCCCTAACAGAATGAGTTTATAATAATGCGTTTTATGCAAATGAGTTAGATGAAGTCTTTAAGGGAAGTTCAACTTACTTCGAAAGAGAGTGCTTAGGAGTCCTTAGTGGCGAGTGTTTGCCTTCTGGCTACTTCATTCTTGAATCTACTACGCTCATCCATATTTTATGTGTCTGTTGATAATCGCCGCCTGGTTAAATTAAGGGTCAACTACGTTAAGTATTTGTGTTTGGCTTCGGCTAATTTAGTTTAGGCCAACTACGTTAATTATTTCTGTCTGGCTTCGGCTAATTTAGTTTAGTATTAGATTATTTTCTTATTCTGATTTAAAAGCCCGAGTGGAGGCTTTCCTGTAGGGCCATCTGTTATTATTTCTTTGAGTGCATAAAAGGGTATTTTAACCCTTCTCAAGACTCTGTCATACATACTTGAACTCAACGATAATTCACTACTTAGTTCACTGGGTTCCTCGACAATTTAACTTAGACAAAGTACTGAGGAACATTACAATGTCACTGCGGAATAAAATTCAGGAATAATAATGGAAAGCATATATTTTAGTTGAATATAAAATTTAATGCTACAAAAATAAAAAGTAAAGAAACATGATTTAACATGTTTTGATATCATATCCTGATATATATGGTCAAACTTATTGACAGCTGTAAAAATATATAATGTTATTATAGTCACCCATGAAGTAAGATTTTTTGACGATTATTCACAGAAAATTCTATCAAAAATTCTGCCCCTCCTTCCTCCGATTTTTACTTCCTTGTACGAAGTAAAAAGGAAGTATTGTAATCGGGAAAAGTTTCAGGCAGCATTTCAACGAAAATATCCATTTTGACCGCTATTGAATGCAATTTAACGATGTTCTTGCGTGACATCTGTACGTAAGGACAAAATAAAAGACTCCTTTCCTCCAAAAAAAAAAAAAAAAAAAAATTATAAAACTGCTTTAAAATGAATTCCGAAGAGAATTTTTCGTGGCGTCTGTACGTACGTACGTAAGTATGTACCTCGCATAACTCAAAAACGAGTAGTCCCAGAACGTTGAAATTTGTATATAAATTGCTATAACATGTAGATTTGCACTTCGTATTTTGGTTGCAATCAGCCGCACCAAATGTATATATTTATATATATATCCACTCTGTTACCCGACTCAGTGATCTCAGTTTCTTAACTCTTATATGTTTGTAAATTGTGCATTTTTTGCTTTAAAAATGATTGAATTATGTAGTTCTTATCTTTCGGTTAAGGTTTTTATGCTTTTAGGAAATCTGCAAGCAATATTTGTAGAATTATCAACAATTTAAAAACTGTTTAAGTGCGGTTAAGCTTAATTTTTAAATAACATGGTGGACATATTTGCTTACATTTGAAACAGCAGAATAGTATATTTGTTGCCAATCTAGACAGACTAAGTTTCGCAATAACAAAGATAACGCCTTCATTTAATATAGCGAATTAAATTATGCTTAATCCTTTCTGGAATTTTTTCGTGGAAATAAGTGTTTAAGATTTACTTCGTAATTTTTAATATAGATATTTTGAGACTTTTATGTATTTTTGCCTTGTTGCGAAGTGAGAACTGAATTAATTGAATGAGAAATACTAAATTGTCTGTGAAAAACTATTTCTTTTTTGTTTTGTTTGCTTCTTTTATAAATCGTTCTAGAGTTATTATAGTATTTGAATAGAACATGTGGCAACGATTAGGTAATTCTTCAAATGATATAAATTCTGTGCATTCCGAGTTCGAGGAACGAAATATAACGCTGATAAGTGAACCTAGCGCCAGAGTGTTGCTATGGTAAACAAATATAGTGAATTTTAAAGAGTGCATTTATTCTATTGTGGTTTATGCGCTATCCGCGAAGTAGATTTAATTCAATCCAATAAGTTTCAATGTAATGCAAGAAAAAATGCGTATAATTTAACATTCCGTTCAAGGAAGTCATGTGGTGTACGCATCAGATTTTTTATTATGTCGCCTTGGGGAAAATAAGAGTTGAAAGCTTCTTTACCTCAGTGACAAATGACATGGATAGTTAGATGTGAAGAGTTTAAAACAAAACTATCTCAAAAAATGTCCAATATCATAATCTTTACTGGGATGTCATAAGACACTTTTTCGCATATTTAATGGTCGAGTAGCTGAATGACGAGGGGTTAATTACATTTTTCGTGCTTAAGTATGTCCTTGGCACTAAAATCTTAGGATCATATTGTAGTAAATGTTTTTGCAAGCGGTAAAAGTAATCCCTGTCCACACTACAATCAAATGCACCAGTATAGCGCGAAGTTATTAGTTATTGCTAATGCATATTTAAATAAACAGCAAAAAAATAAAATCTGTTTTAGGGAAGAAATTCCATTTTTCTTTATTAATTAAAAATATATTAATGATCTGTATAAATTCCAGAATTAATCATAAGATACAAAAATACGCAAAAATACCTCAGAAAGGAAAATTCCACAGAATAATAATTTAAAGCATTTAAAATACCATGTTGGACACACCTATGTTCTGTGTTAGTAACGAATGAAAATAAAACTTTAAGTACTTTGAACTAGCCAATTTTGAGTATTTAAATAAATTTCAAACCCAATTGAAAATTTGCAAAGAAGCAATTTCTTTTTATTTTACTAAGATTTCTTAAATAAGTGCACATAAATTGTCCGTTCTCGAGCATGTAAAGCTTAGACTGATAGACTAAATCAAATAAATATACAGAAAATCAAACAAAATTAAACTTTAATTCAACCTAAATCAAAATATTTTCCAAATAAGACTACATAAGACTGTGACATGTAAAACGTCTTACGGAAGTTTCAGTTCTTCAGCAAATATATTTAAATAATATTTTAATAAAATTACTTTTCGGTACTAAGTTAACTAATTTTTCTAGTTAATGCCCTACGCAATCTTGAAGATGTTTGGACACATTCCGGGATTACCTGGACTTTGCATTGCAGGAGTGTTCAGTGCTTCTCTTAGCACAGTTTCCTCCGCTGTGAACTCACTGACTGCTGTGACTATGGAAGATTTCATTCGGCCTTACTGTTTCTGCAAACGTCTTACAGAAAGCTGGGCAGCATTTTTGGCCAAGGTTTTAGGTACGATATTCTCTTCTACATAAAACATATATTTAATTACATTGTCAAAAAACATTTAAATTACATCCTAGGTATAGTTCAAGCTTAAATTTTTTTTTAGTGTATAATAAGAGTTATCTATAACTATGCTTGATCAATCGTTGTCTCCAATTAATATCAGATTTTTTTCTATGAGTGATTATTTTAAGAAAGGTATTATTAATAAACCATAAATAGGCTTGATCAATCGCTGTCTCCAATCAATATCATATTCTTTCTATGAGTAAATATTTGAAAAAAAGGTATTATTAATAAACTAATTACATCGATTTAGTTTTCACTGTTTCATTCCACAAGCAAGAAGAAAACTAAATATTTTTCTATTTTCGTTGTATAAAGAAAATTAACATTTCTTTCGCTCTGCATACAAGGTAAGCATTAATTAATAAAACTGAAATATGCCTTTTATGTTATATACTAAAAAAAAACATTCGTTAGGTATTTAACAAATTAGTGTTCAGTGTTAAACCTTTAATAGTAAACAATTCGTCTAGTTGCGCAGATCGTGATTTCTGGCACTGATTTGCAAATTTGATTTACATTCACAAATTCTGCCGTGTAGCTCACAATTATGTTGCGCGTGTTATTTCTGGATTCATGGATCATCATCTTATTTTCATAGTAATTTAATTGCTTCAGATAAGTCATACAAGGAATGGGGAAAGTGAAATCATGGTAATAAAATAGTAGTGTAATTAAAAAAAGTAGTAAATCATAGTATATTTAGGAGACTGTTTCTTCGGTTCACCTTCTCATGGTAACAGAAAAATTGCATGGTCCTCGGTTCACCTCCTGGTAGATAATAATTAGTGATATATTGCTTTCTTTTGCTAGAATATTACTTTATCATCCATATAGCTGAGAGTTGCGAAGACTGTTGGAGATTTTTGAAGACGTCCATGTAAGGAATATCAATCATTGATTGCTCCAAAAGAAAACAACGGCACATAAACACGTGAATAGTCTTCATATCATCAGAAAACTGCTTTATTATGGGCCCTATTCATTACACTTTTAGCAACAACACTGAGTGAGATTTAACCAATCACGTCGTGCTCTGACGTCATGAGTCGTTAATATGCTATTTCGGTATTCTTATCACCTCAGTTGTTTGATCTGATCTCTAAATTTAGTGACCTACTGTTAAATTTAAAAGCGGCTTCCAGGCAGCTTTAAATAAAGTAACGACTCTGCTTGCAAATGTAACAGCTAAGGTGTTTATATTCGAGGTGGAGTCGAGTGTTTTATAAAAATTATCCCGTAATTCTGTTGCACAGGCAAGGTTTCAACGCTCAGAAAATACTCCTTACGTAACAGAATATACTTCTCATAATAAATAATGTTGCTTTTCAAAATTGTTATCCCCTAAAGTCAAGGAATAATTAGGGGACTGTTTGGTGGTATAATTAGGAGACTCGGATGAAAAAAACCCATAACAATATCTTTAAGGTATATATATATCTTCTACAGCTTTCTGAAATTTATTTGAAAAAGATTTTTTTAACTTCTTTTATATTTGCATATATACTATATATGTATATATATATTGCTTTACAAAACTCAACTGACCGCTTTAAATAATAGTTAGCGGTTATACTTCTCAGGAACATTTGAAGCGAAAGTTACATTCATAATTTTTCATATGTATGTACTCAATTTCACATGTATTCATTAAAATGTAAAGCTACATTAAGTTAGTACCCTTAATATCTCATATTTTAAAATGCATGTATTGATGTTAATACATGCATTAAATTGCGATACAGCAGCATTTGCTACTAAATTTAATTTCACAAATTTGGTATATTATGTCTAATCCCTCTCTTTTTAATATTACGCTTATTATTCCATGAAATTCTGAATTATCCTTAGTTATACCTTGTCACAAGAAATTTTTCCCCTGCACATTCTTTTTAAGCTTATATTCTCTTATAGTTGATGGTTCATTGATCTGGCTAGTGGTTTGCACCATAAATTGACAAGACATTAATGAAAATGTAGCGGATACTTTTAACAGGGAATGTGTTCTGAACCTAATATTTTTCTTCATAAACGACTCGTTTTATGGTACTTTTTCAACAGTCTTTCAGTACTTTTTATGATTGTTTTGTCTGATACAGATTATTTTATTTAAAAAGATTATTAGTTTAAAATCTGAAAATTCTTTAATAGTTTTTCTTGTATTCTAGACAAAATATTACGCTCAGTATTTATATTTTTAACTAAATGCTATTATAAACACTAACTATAGATAATAATCTTACTGAATCTTTTTCAAAATCAAAATATATAATACATTATAGAATGATTATGTAAAATATTAAAGAACTTCATTTTAATGAATTAATTATTTACGTAAAATAATTTCTGACATCGACACTTGTTACCAGATACCTATGCACATAGTGAAAAACTTACTCTATTCTATGTGCAGAATTTAGTTAGCCTCTTAAATAAAGCAAGAAAGCATATATATGTTCTGTTTTAAAAATCCACTTAAAACTTAATGTAATATGAAAATTCTGATAAAATGTTATATATAATTACTTTCAGTTTTAAAATATTGAAAAGATTCACCTTAGAGGAATCAACACTCATGTAGGCCTTTAATGCAATGAAAGGGCAGACAGCCTTACCAGTGACACAACAAATGAAGTTAACTAGGTTCCCGATTCGGCCTTTCACCTGAAGTAAAAGATTCATAGACAAATGGATACCCAGTGACAAATCATGTGGGATTCAGCATATGTAAAAAGATTCACATAAAAGTACTTTACTCATCTGTCTCGGAAACTGAAAACACACTGCTCATATACCACGCAGCTTCACGCGGAGCCCTACCCGATTTTTGCATATCTATACAGATTTGAACTCAGTGACTATTTTCATATGTTATATACCGTATGAAAAGTATTTGCATATGCTGTGAAAACGATTACGTCTTGGATTGTCTACTTAAATGCCGTCTAATTTTAGATAGCCGTCCTATAGTCTTTTACCTCAGAGCAAGGAAATCCATGTTCGCCGAAATCAATAGCGCTTCTAAAAGCAGTGAACGTCCAATACATCAATAAGAAGTTCTATTTGTATATGCGAATTCTTTCAACCCTCAACCCACCGCAAACCTGCGCTAGGTAAAAAATACTTCATAAATGGATTGAAATTCCCTAAACTTCTGAAAATTATGAAATAAAAAATCTTAGTTTCTGTTCATCAGCTGGCTGAACATAGCCCCCAGCTGATTCAGTGGTTAGTGACGCTGCCATACCGATAGGTCCAGGTTCGAATTCCGCAGAAGGCATGGATGTTTGTAAGCGGACACTAGTGTCTGTGTGGAAGGGGACACTCAAATTACACGGCTAACAGAAGGTCCTCTCGAGAAGTTAGTTTTAGAAAATGAGGGTTAAAAGACCCTTGGAGCGTCTCCGGGGTTGTTCTTCCTTCAAATTAGAGCAGAACTGCATGATTACTGCAGCGAAACTATACTGTATGACCAGTAGTGAATTTATAGTGTCTCACCTACTTTTAACTGTGCCTGTACCTAATTGCTGAACAGTATGTGCTAGATTCTTTTCTGGCCCGCAGCAGTCCGGTCATTAGCGAGGGAAGAAATCGTAGGTACAAAACACAACCATCAGTTTACACGAAACTTCACAATACATGCCCAAAATGTTCAAAAGGAAAGCGTCCTTTTACTGTAAGGTAGGTTAGCTTCAGAACTAACAAGCTGTGTACGTAGAAGCACTGGTTCTCTTTCATACTAACAGTACTGCTGTTACTAAAATTTCAGTCCATTATGTACTCAAATGTTGGCTTACGGTTTAGCAAATCATACTTAGCAATTATGATGTGAATGTGCATTTTGCTGCGAATATTATGATACAGGACATTTGTACTCTGCATTTACATCTTTCATTTATTAACACAATTTTCTTTACTAGAAAACATATCTTTAGGTTTATTTATTTATTTATTATAATATAAAGTATTTAAAACGAACGACTTGATTTCAAATGCCTTTACTTTTAAATTACAAATATAGAGATGAGATACATACAATGAAAGGTGTTTACTTATTCTTCTTCTACATAATTTCATTCAACTACATGCCAAGAACAATTGTATTCCTGCCCCATCAGTGCGTGCTTTTGAGGTGTAATAGCACATTCAGCTGGCAGCTGGAAGATCCTAAGTTTGAAGAGGAGACCAGCCCAGCAGACTTTTTACATTACTCTCTCTCGTAAAACTTATCATTTCGTAGCATTAACAATGGTAAGACGAGGCCTGGCCAACTCACGTTAAATTGCAGGCCCACCGGGAGATTTTATATTTCTATTTAAACTTTTGCTTTTCGTTGCATGTATATAAAAAAATTAAATAAATAAAATTTTTAAATAGTGATAAAAAATTCAATTTTGAATTGACGATAGAAAAACCACATAAAAGAATGTTCGCCAAGAGGTAATCCTGGTTATATATGGAAACTGAAGTCAAGGTTAACTCGAGTAGTAGTTTACAAACTAGGTTCCCCCTCATAGTTTCGTTATCCATTGCACATACGAAGTAATTATTATTATAAGTCAATCTCTGTGAAAGAACCTGAAAGTTAAGAACGAAACCTTCGCCAAAGTAGGAGTGGCTCCGTCAGACCGAGGAGGAGAAAATATACTCGAAGTTTACGTTACAGGAGCCATCCATGCAGCGTTGCACATGCTGGAAATAGCTGTCGAATGTCGAAGGTCACGTTTGTCAATTTGTTTTCCTGTGGTGCTGATAGCTGAATAAAAATGTCATCTGATGACATTAAGAAATCTGACACCGAAAGAAAGTTTGAAATTTATTCAAATGAGTATATTTTTGTTAATGCAAGTAAATTTAAAAGTTACTAAGAATTGTTAAATAGATAGAAGCTACTATATATTTTCATGTATCAAGTGATCACTATTAGCATTAAGAAAGTTATTAAATATTGGTAATTTTGCCAGGGCTTCGAGCCGGAACTGAACGAAAACCGAAAGGACGATTTCGAAGAATAGAAAAGTTCTTGATGAAAACAGGAATTTTAATGATCGTAAGGAAATTTTTTTTTCGTTCAAATTCAAAATTAATGTGTTTACTTTGTAGAGAGACGATCAAGGAACACAACGTTAAAAGGCATCATGAGATAAAACATACTGAGTATGAAAATTTCAGTAAAGAATTCAAATGTTTTAAGTTAACTGCGCTTAAATCACATCTGAAAGCTCGACAAACGATGTTTAATTTATTATTACAACAACCATCTATCACTATCTTCAAATGAAGTCGTAGTAACTTTGCGAGACAAAATTAGCCAGTGCAAAGCATATTCTGTGGCATTTGATGAAAGTACAAATATCTCAGACACATCTCAAACTTGTGATATTTTTTCGCGGTGTGAATGACCCATTCCAAAAGGGAGAGAAGATGAATCATGTTATGAAAGTAGTTAATGAGAATAGCTCGTTCACATGCTCTTCAGCATCGGCAGTTCAAAGAATTCCTTAGCGAATTATCTTCTGAATATGGTAATATCGTAAATTTTACCAATGTTAGGTGACTAAATCGTGGAAAATGTTCAGAAAGATATTATAATTTACGGGAGGAATATGTTTAGGAATGAGAAACAAGAATCTGTTTTTTCATTAAATGATGATGATTGGTTGTTAGACCTATGTTTTTTAGTGAGTGTAGCAGAAAAACTTAATCAATTAAATAAGGACTTGTAAGGAAAGTTAAAAATCGATGCTTTTCATTTCATTAAAGCTTTTAATAAGAAATTATTGTTATTTGAGTGCCAGTTTAGAAATAATAATGCTCAACATCTTCCGCTGTTAAATAACTTCCCAAAAAGCAAGATTAATAATTTCCCTAAACATGCTAATGAAATAAAGAAATTTATAACAGCAATTGATAATCGTTTAGCAAAATATCATAAAATGTTTGAAATATTTACACGCACATTTCATGTTGACGTGAATAGTATTCCTGAAAATCTTCAAATGGAGTTAATTGAGTTATAGTGCAACAATGAAAGAAAACAATTGTTTTGCGTCCATGTCAAAAATTAATTTTTACAATACTTATATTAGATCCGAGAGATATACCAACTTAATATATTTGGTACAACACCTTTGTAAGTGTTTTGGGATCCCCATATGTTTGTGAAACATTTGAAATTTACAAAACGTACTGCATTAAGTTATGCTAGTTTAGAAAACCAGCTAAGATGTGAAGCATCGAACATAAATACAGATTTACAAAAATTAAGGGAAGGAAAGGATAAACAAATATTTCATTAATTAAACTCGAAAGTTCATGATATTTGAATCATAGTATAAGAATAAAGTTTTATTCATTTTGTATTTGTATTGTATTTTTTTTAAAGCATGTTTACCTAAAGTGTGGTCCGCTTTAACTTTCTCCATCATCAAAATGGCCCATGAAACCATTTAGGTTTGTCAGGTCTGGGTTAGATAACGATAAAAATCTTTTCATATTTAGCCACACTTTTTTTATTAGTCTCTAGAAGTAACAATGCATCTTTTGAAATCATATTGGCTTGTGGGCAAAGATGGTATATAACACTAATAATCATGACATATGACACTCATAGCTATTATCAAAGGATCACATGGCATGTGATTCAGTGAAGTTAGATCTGTGGGTCCATCTGAAATGCTTCACTTTCTCGTATTTATTGCTACGTACAGTCGTGCACTCACTTTATTTTTGCATAGATATAATGTTCAGTGAAATATCGGTGTACCTACGAATGCTATTAGTGAATGGTGGATCATTTCCGTACTGTTAATAGAACTGATGCTCAACTGAACCTTGAAACCAACTGAACACGTTACCAACTGAAACCTTGAAAACTGCAACACACATAAATCCTTCTTTCATGCAGCTTCCATTTTTCCAAAAAAATTATTTCACGAGCCATAACGAAAATAAGCTCTCTTTTTTTCGGAGGGATTTTAAAACTGGCGATTTCCTTTTTCTGCTTAATCTGTCAAAAATTAAGTATTTTTAATAGATTTAAAAAATTATTCGTTATTGAAATCTATTCAATATTTTTAACAACACAGTAACTCCCCCACCCCCACCCCCGTTTTCTGTTATTAGGCAAGCAGCTAGTAATGCTTACGTTCTATTTATAAATTTTTAATAATGTTAATATTTATTTGATATTTACAATGATTTTGTTTTTCGCTAATATAGTTTTATTTGTATTTAACAGCCATTGGATACGGTGGTTTATGCCTTCTTCTAACCTTCATTGTGGCTAATTTTCGCGGAGTTTTGGAAGCGTCAAATGTTATGTTTGGAATGGTGGGAGGACCAATCCTCGGAATCTATTCACTTGGAATGCTTAGTTTGACTGCAAACGAACCGGTGAGAACATGATTATATCTGTAATAATCTGATAACTAGAAATGGGAAAGCAGATAGAAATAACCACTAAGACCACTAAGCATTTAATTTTTTAAGTCTAATTGTTTTTAACTGTTGTATTGTAATGTTTCAGCTAGCAAAAATTTATTTCAATTTTGGATCTAAACACAGGTAAATCGAAGCATATTTGTGCGATGTTATTTACATTTTTATGAATAATAAATCTTCAAAGTCAAAACCAGCTTTCTGGTAAGGAAACATTTGCTTGATTTACAATGAATACAACAGCAATATAAAAACAGTTGTTGGTAACTGAAATAAAACTGACTTCTAATAAGCAAAAATATCATGATACTAGCTAGAGCATTAAGTAGTTAAACAACGAAACATAAATTAAATATCTTTGCGGTTGTTTCTCACAGGAACTTAGCAAACAAGTTCTCTACACACTGTTACTTCTTTCAGAGAATTCAAAATGTAACATTGTACTTATTCAACTTGGAGGCAACATTGAAATGTATAATGCGGCAGTTATTTCTGTAGAATTTTGGGTAACAGTTGCTGAATTTTGTTAAATTTCAAGTTACAAGCTACAGGCCCTTTTAAAATCTTATTTAAAGTAATATAATGTTCCTTTTATAATTTTTGTTACAATGGATCAATAAATAAGATCATTTGTACGTAAAACTGAATAGTTAAATAAACTGTTTCGATTTAATTTAAAATTAAAGTTAATTGATGCTGATGTAGAGACAGCCAAAATTTAAAAAAACGTTTCAAAAATGAATTCAGTGTCTTTATAAGAGTAAAGATTTTGTTAACTGTAGTATTTATAAATGGTTATCATGATTACTGCAGTGTTTTAGCACAAAATTTATAAGGATTTTATGGGGCCGACAAGATTACTGAACTTGGCTTGGTTTCAGTTTCTGGCGAGCTAGTATATGATATTCAGTGTTTCTTTTATGTGCAGTATGTTGGTGAAAAATACACGTTCCAAAATTGCTCTTAGAAAGTCTTCAGAGAAAAACTTACGGTCTCGGATTTTAAGATGCTTCAAAGTGGTGCTATAAATTTTCCTGATCCTCATTTTTGTTCATGAAAATTAAGCTGAGTTTTCAGTGCGCCTGAGTAAACGCTGTAATTGAATCCTTGACTTAGTCGAGACTTAATTCAATTCTTTTATATACAGAGATTCAATCTCATATGCTTTATCGTAACCAACTAATCACCTTTATAAACGGTTTACATAATTCTGTATTTTTGAAGTAAATTATGAGTTTGAAGGTTAATAGGTTTATATAAAGGTTTATATAAGGTTACTTCTTATATAAAATTAACAAAGCAACAACCTTCTGTTTGGCATAGATTTTAGTCAAGATTCTATCGATTTCGAGGGCAAACAACTACAGGACACTTTTCATCAGAAGCAAAGAAATCTGCAACGAAAGAACAGCTACGGTTATATTTATACTCAAAAGGAGTGAAGTAAACTCGAAAGTAGCGCCATCTGTTGGCAGAAATGGTGATGAAAATTAAAAATTAAGTAGATAGAATTTTGAAAGCGTTAGGAAAGACTGGATTGGAATTAAAGTCATTAAATAAACAAGATAAATCTTTGTGAATGTGAAAAGTTTCGAGAAAATCCAACTCACCAATGCAAGAAGCATTTTGGGTAATTTTTGCTGACCAAAAGTAAAAATTTTGATTAAATTTCCAAATGTGATTAGCTACCGAAGACTTGTTAATTTCTCCTTTTCAAACATAAAATTGGTATTCTTTGATGCGAAACTTTAATGCTGTTTATTTTGGCCGATATATCTCAAACCGCAATGACAAAATATACTATAAATTCTCCAAGAATTAAAGTCAGGATATATTTATATTATCCATTGCTGCAATACATACTTATCAATTTTTACCCACAGGGAACTCTTATAGGGCTTCTGGCAGGTTTTCTTGTCAATGCTTGGTTAGGTTTTGGATCCTATGCCGCTAAAGTTCCGATTCCTGCCCTTCATCGAACGACTGAAGGCTGTGCTGCCATTGCCAATGAAACCTTTCATATTGCAGGGGAAACATCAATGAATGAAACAGAACCTTTATTTGACATGGGTCTGGAAAATGTGATAGACGCTTTAAGCCTTACAGCAGAAGAAGACAGGTAAGAGCCTGATACAAATAATTACCCCTCTACATAAATTAATTGTATTCATAATTTAAAGAGGAATATAACTTTATTCAGCTGTCGCTTGTTAGAAAAACTTGTCTAGTGCCCCTTGAAAACCGGCGTCTTTTAGGCGGCTGTGTAAAACGCCCTTTGTTCCTATGCATTTTAGCGGCGGTTAATAAGAGTTAGTTAACATACTAAGTTACCTGAATTATATTTAATAGTCAACTTACGGTAGTTAATAGAATTATAGAACTGTCGCAAATAAGGGTGGCTGATTGTTTTCATAACAGAAAAAATTAATGTCTCTTCAAAGAGCATGCAAGAATTTTGAAATAATCCATAGTTTGTGCAAATGATAATAGAGCTTGTTTATTTCAGTTTTTTTCCTAAGAAAGGTTTTGTTCCAAAATATTATATGGATTATTTGTTAATGAAAAAAACACGTTTTACTTTCTAATAAAAGAATTTATTAAAATGCCAACAGTAGTAATCAATAGTAATCAGCTAAAGAAGGTTTCTCTTCTACTAGAAGAACTTAAATGTATCATCAATCGAGTGATACTTATCACAGCTATTTCCCTTCCTTCTAGAAACGTTGTAATTCTACAACATTTAATTAATCCAATTTAGATAATTTTAAAATTGTTGCATTTAGTGAAACTTTTTCCAGCATTTTTGAAGGCAAACAATTGCAACTTTTACTTGTCCAGACATTCGTATTTTTTCACAGACTGTATAATGCATCTTTATAATTAGAGTTAAGTGTCTAGACCCAAAAACTGAATTTAGATTCAAATAGACATTTATTATATGAAATTCATTACAAGTACATAGGAGAACAATCTCACTCTCTTTTATATATAAATATATAAACTAATATACTCTATTCAATACGGAAACATATTTAGGTGTGCACTAATAGTGAAAACATGTTTAGAATCATCATACTTCTCACTGTGAGCAGACTTCTCCACAATTTAAAATAATTAAAGGCAAGTACAGAAATGCATTGACTCCAGACCAAGTGAAAAACAGCATGCCGGCATGTTGTGTATCAGAATATACGCCAAATTTTAACAAGTTGTCAGAAAATATTAATAATCAAATATCTCATTAACTGCGAATTAATGACTTAATGCTGTACTGACTTTATGTAATAACTGAAAATTTAAAATTTAAGTGTTACATTTTTTGTGTTAATAATTAGTTTTTTTGGTACGTGCTTTTTTTTACTTTCTAATTTGAAATATTGTTTGAACCTACATTATATTTGATTTTTATTAGTGGACTTTCTTCAGTTTTTTGTAGGTTCGTATTATTTGTAAACACAAAATCATCCAGTAGAATCACATGATGTAGTCCAGTAGAATCATACAGTAATTTCATTTCATGAAATCACATCCAGTAGAATCCAACATATCATGAAACTGTTTTAATTAAAATCTGTTAAATCAATTATATTAACAATTTCTTTGCTTTTTATAAAAATATGTAAGATGCATAGGCACAGTAAAATTCCGACAGTGCGGCATTAAGTTGCCCGATATTCCCGTTTATATGAAATTTGCTTTCTTTATTTGCTTAGAATATTTTCAAAACCTGATAAAAAGGTTGAAAAGGGAGTAAAATGGAGCTACCTTACTTTATCAATTCAATAAAAGAGTTCTAATGTAAACAGTGTTGAACCCTCAGGTGGCAAAAAAAATAGATAGTGACAGAAAAGAAAATTTAATCAAAATCACTTGGGATGACACTAGTCAAGAGTTGAATACATCGTTGAAATTGACTGGAAATGTTACTAATACAATGTTGCAAAATGATAAATACTCATATTCTACTGAATGACTCTATAATTAATTAGTTAAAATGTAGGATTTATGAAACATTAGAATTGGAAAAACATTATGCGCTTGCAATAATGATATCTACAAAGCAAAAAACTGATTAAATGTAATTAAAAGGAATAAATATGTAGAAATTCAATAACTCTAATAACTCAATACATTCAAAATAATTCAGAAAAAAATCGTTTAAAAAATTCATCACAAAGAAAACTGCATTATACAATATTCGTCCGATAAACTGTCACCTTTAAAAACTTAACAAATGTCAAATATTTTTTAGCTTCGCCCGCATGTGTTACTAGAGTACTGATGTATGTAATTGCTTAGCAAAGGTGTCTTCAGATGCAAAATTTATTCTTATGATAACCACTTTCTTATTTAACTACTTTCAGGTATATTTTGCCAGTATATAAAATATCTTTCATGTGGTTTCCTGTCATCGGATGCCTAGTGGTCGTTATAGTCGGATATATTGCTAGCACTATAATAGGTAAATTATAATTTATAATTTTCACATAATTTCATTAAATGAAAATCATTTTAAGTAAAGTTTTTTTAGAGCATTAATAAATTTAAAATATGAGACTATTTCAACTTTTCTTCTATTTAGACTTTAAAATTCGAAACCTCTTCCGTTATAAAAATATTCCAGTTTTTCCCTGGATGATGATTTTCTTTTAATTTTTATACTAAACCTGTATTAATATAGTCTTTTATTTTATTTCTTGTCCAAACAAATGCTTTTAAGTTAAGTTTTTATCGATGTCAGAAATGAGTTAGTATTTTATGTTGTCTTCGCTTGTAATGCTATAAAACGCATTTAATTTTTTAAAATGTTCTTCGTGAAAATACTTCTGTAAAGGGATCAGAGATTCTTTAATAATTTTGAATGAATTTTTCAATTTAAATCTCATTTTAAGTTAAATAAATCGCTGTCATGAAGGAGAATATGAAGATCTAGCATTAATTTTTCTCTTCACAGTCTAAAAACGGCTTCATGATAACTAAAAATAATAAAAATGTTCATTTTCAGTTAAAATTAATTATTTTATTAAAAGGGGAAAAACTGGTATTGCAATTGGTCTGGTTATACCAAATCCCTAAACAACATTGCACTATTCAACATATGAGTAATGAGTTAGAAGACTTAATTAGAGGCTTCACTACAGATATGCAAACTGCCTTGCAGCAAATTAGTACCTGTACTACTGATCGTGCTAAAAAATGCAACAAAGAACTTACTAATTTAATAAAAAGAAGTAACACTGCTCGAAGACAGTAGCAATACTCAAGCTGCCCTCCAGACAAAATTCTGCTCAAACAACTTAACCGTCAAATCAGGTTCCTGACATAACAACACACAGGCAAAGACTAGGCTACCTACCTGCCCTCCCTTTCAGGAGCAGATAACACTGTTTGAAAGGGAACTTCCAAACTAAAGAGATGCTACACCAACATTCCGCCCTTAAATGGCCCTAACGGAATCGAGTACACAGAGGCTGAGAAAGCTCAGTCGTTTTATTGATGCACAAGTGTATCCAATCAGATCAATAGAATTTTAGTCTTTTTCTGATAATTTTCTAAACAAAAGCCATATCTAATTCATACGAAATGAGATGGTGGTTATTAATACTGTCGCTTATCATCGAACTGTCTGTGGCAATATCATCTTGGACTTTCAATCATAATCAAACCGAGGTATGATTCTTTTCGACTGACAGTACGTGCAGCGGGAATGTTCGGGCCGTCGTATGGGAAGAATCTAATTGTTGCTGCATCTTCGTACACTTATAGCCCTCGTGGGTCTTAGAGCTAAAATGATCCGAAATAATCATTGGAATGTTATCAAATTTTTGAATAAAACTTTGAAAATTAGTAAGGACAAAATCTAACAGTAGTTAAAGTCAACAGTATACGAACAGAGGTTAAACGAAAAATGTCATGCAGTTAGAAAAGCTACTATATATTCGCAGCAGAAGGTTTTCAAGCCCAAAATTCGTAGTTATAATGGCTGTCGTTGAATTGAGCTCTTTGCTGCATCTTTGATAATAAATTGTGAAGCTGCTGGGTTTCCCTTTCAAAAGTGGCTCCTAGATGCAGCCGAATATCGCAGACTTGTCTTTATTGAGATTTCTGCAGTGTTGAAGAGCTACACTCTGACAGTGCTAAATATTGAGTTGTATTATGCGATATGAACCCATAGTGGATTTTTCATTTACACGGTGTGGGGTTTAAGTTTCACAATTTAAATAAAAGTGAAATGTTTTTCTTTTTGCTTCATTTCATCACGATTGTTTGAATTGATTGGTCATTTCAGAATCTATTTAGATTAGATATGCAAGCAGTTTTATTATTAAGTTAGAAGACAGGGGTTACAACATTTTCTATTATTTTTTAAGACGGATTAACGTTTTGATTTTAGCATTATGATATACCTTCGGATCAAACTTATATTTATAATTCGTTTATTTACAATTTTCACAACACGCTGAGCACTCAGCTTTGATATAGCCTGGCTCTATATGTCTCACTTCTGCTTAGCTTCCCAATACTTTTTCATGTGCCCCAAACCAAAGCAATTATAACATTGAGTTACTCTCAAAACCTCACAGACGTGCTCCTTTTAAATTTATTTGCTCATTTTTATGAAAAAATCCTAATCAATTGCCACAGATCCATTGCTGCTATACTTGTTTTTCATCATGCATTTAACTTCCAGTGAAACATCTTCCTGCTTGTAACTTTGTGTCCGAATAGTTTTGATGAATGATTTCCTCGTCAGTTCTTTACTCACATTCATTGTAAATGATTACTTTTGGCTTGGTGAAATTTTAGCATTATTCTTCAAAAGAATCGTTTTCTTTTTATGGCCTGTTCTGTTAGAGCCATATCACTTTTCTTCACCACTTCAATAAAAACTCTACTTTTCTTAATTATTTTCTTTTGCTTGATTCACATTTGCAGTTTAATAGTATTCGTATCTCAAATGAGTTGCCACTTAACCCTATTACAAAGTGATCCTCTTTTTGTTCCCTCCCCCCTGCGAGAGAATGATTTAAATCGGGGCTTCTCAAACTTTTCCATCCGATGACTCCTGTTACCGAAACAAATGTTTTCAGGAACCTGGATATAAATATATATACTATTTATGGAAACTAAGATATACATTTGCTGAAAATAAATGATAAAAAAAACTTATTCGAAAACAATTCTTTGGTATTCATGCAAATATAATTCATTATGTATTAAGGGCCACCGCGGAAATAGCATCTTTACAGAGTCGTCAGTTTATAGTAAAAAACGGCAATTGACTCTTTTGCTCCTATGCAGCTAGGCTGCAAGAGTTTCTGTAGTCTTATATTTGTCTTTCTCAACCTATAAAGCGAAAATATAATCAACAATGAGTGTTACCGGTCAGACACTCACTGACAGGCCTTAAAACATACTGCTCTGAAATTCATTGACTATACGATACAAGGCTTGAATGGTACTAAGTACAAGGTAATATGATACAAGGCTTGAATGAAATCGATTGGCCACATTCCTAGTGTACCATGCCCACCAACGGCCGAGCGGTAAAGTCGCTGAACACTGGTAGTTCGGTCCGAGGTTCGAATCTCGCGAACGGGCTGACTGCATGGGAGTTTTCGTGGTTTTCCCCATGTGTAACGTGTATACGAGCCAGTTTCCCTTAGAAAGCCCTCCCCTTAGGCAGATAGCCCTGGTGTGCTTTGCCATAATTAAATACACCACCACCACCTAGTATACCTCTTTTTTTATACATTCCCAATCACTATATACCTCGTGATGTCATGTTTTCTAATGGTCCTTTTGTAACAAATATGCTCATCATTCAGCGATTTGGGAGAGAATTTCTGAACTTATTATTAATACCCTATAACGTCACTATTTGCGTTGATTATGTGACGATTTTCTGCTGAATATTTACGGTTAACTCGGCAGAGCTGTTTCGTTTAAGTTGGAAGTTATAACTTCAAAGCGTAATGTTTTTCCTCTTGGAAACCGTTGTATAAAATCTTGGTAAATCGGTGTTTTATTAATTACAATAACCTTATTTATATGATTATGCTTAGTTTTAAAATCTTGGTTAATCTAATTTATTTTCGGACCTTACGAAAATATCAGATCATTTCAGTTAATGGTCATAATATAATTGATTTTTTATCCCGCGTTTCCGAAAATTAAAGCAAACCTTTATTCTTGCCCTTACCCTTACCTTATGTAATCAATGTAAGATTTTTACATCTACTGCTAAATTTTCCGGACCCGATAGCACTTAAGGCCACATGATATTGGGCTATATAGTGATTCCACGAAAAAAGCTGTAATTCTTCCTGTCAGAAAATCAGGCAAAATAGCCTGTTGCTGTTTGAGTGAGTTACTAACCAACTGCTCTGACTTGTGTCTAATGGAGAGAATGTGGTTTGCAAGACTTGCTTACTATCCTAAATCCAAAAGTATAACTGTTAGAAAGTAGTATTTTTTAAACATGGTAATAATATTATAGACCAGAAATTTGTATATTAGCCTTGTGTCAGATATGCACCGACTCTGGATATCTGCAAAATATCCTGTTGCTACTTTTGTTGAACCTTTAATTTGTTGAACCTTTTGCCTTTAATTTGATGTAAATTATATTGTTGTTTTAAAATGGTTTGGCATAATAAACTAATTACCATGACATTTTTCTTAATAAGGTCATGTTCTTACATAGATCTCTGACATTTTATGCAACACATTTGGTAACTTTCTTTCTAGGCATTTTAGAACATCTTTCTAATAAACACATAAGTTCAGATTATTTCCTGAGGTTCCGCTTTGAGCCTTGATTTTAGCTGGCATTGAGAGAGATATCTTTGTAACTTGTAAAATTGTTAGTTTTGTTGATGATACCGTTCTGTGGGATTATGCTCCAAATATTGATTTAATTGAAATGGATCTCAATCAGACTTTCTCTGCTGTTGGCAAGTTTGCAATACAAAATTCTTTCTTAGTCAAATACAGGAAATGGGTAAATATGCTCATGTGGGAAGACCTCTTTCGGACTACGAGTACTAGATTTATTCCTGCTGGTATGTCTCAGTCTTTAAAAACTAGTTATAATTGAGCTGTATGAGAGTTGTATTGATTTGCTTAACAGCTGCCGAACGAAACTTATTTTATATGAGAAAGATCTTCAACCAGTAGACATAACAGAGTTTAGTGAATTATTTTATCAAATTATTACCTATTAATATGGCCTAATAATATAAAACTAAACTGAGCCTGTTTTCTCCTGCTTTCTCACTAAAGGTAGATGTGTTATATTGAGCCTCACTTAAATCTTTTCAAAATATCTCCTTTCATTCCGAAACCCTACTGTCCACCAATAAGAATAGTTAAACTCAGATGCGCTTGAAAGAGTTGACTTTAGAGACGTTCAGCAGTATTTAAGACTATGTTCATATTTACACAGACAATAGGAGAAATGATCTAGTAGAGATGCGATACGAAAAATTGTAAAAACATTAGGTATTTTTTGGAAGCAGGAGTCATGCAAAAATACGCGCCCAGCGGGCTGACCACTACAATACGAAGGCATGATAAGAAGGAGAGAGAAATACCTCATAAAATGAATTAATAAAAATGAGCTAAATCAAATCTGGAGTTTTTTTCTCATTAAATACCCGAATACCTCAGATAAAATCATGTTTAGAAATAAGAACTCATGCACTGTGTTCTGCTACAAGCTTCTTGCTATAAAGGAGGATTTTATAGATCTACTAAAATGATCTGTCATTCATCGATATGTGGATTTCGTCCTGACCAAAATTTAAGTGCTTGTACGAAAGTGAATCATACAGATGATGTCTCTATTTGAAGTCTTCTTAGTCATCATTCTCAAAGCCTTGCGGTTCACTTGCAATGGGACCTTTATCATCTGAGTCTTTTGGTAATGAGAAGGTTGATGCCTTGGCTAAGGACAGTATTGTTAATCTTCAACTCTCTGCTTTGTTATCCCTATTTTTCAGAATTCATCGAAAACTTCTGAAGTACATCATCTACTCACGACTGCTTCAGTCGTATTCTCCCTAGAGGTTCTGTTATCTTTAAAATGGTTCTAGGTCAGATCAGACTGTTCTGTTTAATGTTTTTTAAGTGGTCATCTAATTTTTAATCGATCATTATCGGAAAATCTTTCCCATTTTCAATAGATGCAATTTTGGACGAAGCAGATCTTGTCATCCTCTCACCTAAATTAATTTTACTAGAGAAGAATTCCTTTCAGATATTATTCTTTTTATTTTCAAGTTTTTAAAGGTTCATGGACTCATAGATCTGATATAGCACTGTATTGTTTGGTGGCATTAAAATCAACAGTGTGAATTCACTCACTAATAAATCAAAATTAAACAGATTCGCTTTAGAAGCTTGCTTTGGCTTTTACGTTATTTACATCACTCAAAGAACACTATTTAAACATCAAACAGATAAATAAAAATATCAACTTTAATCTATTCATTATTTTTAATTAATTCATCAATGATTGTAACTTGGCATATATAAACTAAAAAATTTAAGCGATATTTGGGATTCGAATACGAAGGAACGGGCAAGAACCTTTGACTTTTGCTTACCAAATTTCTAGCGTAGGCTCATTTAAGCTGTAGTTTTACTCATTTAAGCTGTAGTGAATAAGAATGCGTGAAATAAGTAACGTATTAACGAGTAAATTTCTTGTATTTTTTTTAGGTATCTGGAAAAAGCAAGACGTCCAACCAGAGAGTTTCAGTCCCTTTGTAAGAAATTTATACTTCAAAAATGAAGTACCGAAACAGCATCTCAATGAAAAAATATATCCTGAGGTAGGTTGTACTCTGTTTCTGGTTTATACCCTTACTATTATTAAATATCACAATCACAGTTAGCATCTGTGAGTATGGTATCATCGATGCCAGTTTTATAGCTGGCTTCTATAATCGGAATATACTAACTATGAACAACGAACAGAAATTTGATAAAAAATTAAGAGACTTCTGGTGAAAATTAACTTATGTAATGCGATACCTAAAATCTACCAGAAACTGAGTATCTAAATATCTGAAAGAGTATTTTCAGTATTTGCTTATCTAACAAAAGTAATATGTGAAATGAAATGGGTTGTTTTTTTCTCTGATGTTTTCCACATTATTTTAAGATTTAACTGGGGCATATAAATAGGCTATTAGAAACTATTAAAACAATTATATTAAAATATCGCTACTTTAAATACACCTGCCATTTCATAAAAACATTTTGTAGCATAAGAAGCAATGATCATTGCAGAGATGTTATGCAGATGTCGGAAATCAAGTCAACATTCCCGCCAATGAAATGTTTTCATATTATATCAACAGACTGAACTTAACAAGTACAGGGACTTTATCAGAGGGAACTCTTTATTAAGTAATACTCAGGGGGATTGGCGATGCATGTGCATTTCGCTATATTTGACAAAACCAGTAAACTATAAAGCTTTCACTACTTCATGTCATTCTTTTCTTTACTGCTGGCATTCATTGTTCTAATGGCAATATGATGGATGAAGCTTTCTTCTACGTGATAGATGAGTGATATCCATTTGGACTCTTTTATTCAGATTTCCGTCCTGCATTTTTGCTGAATCTGTTTTTCACTCCCTTAAACTATGAAGAAATAGTTCAACATTACACCAGCAAACTGAAAGCCACTTTCTGGGAAGGGAAGGTAATCTATTTGCCTGGTCTCATGACACGTTACAAGGGTCGTACTGAGTGAACGGTAACTCTCTTTAACAATCCTTATTCTGATTCATTAAATATTCTAACCTGAATATACTCTTTCATGGATAGTTAGACATATCGGATACGTCACCACATACATAATATGGCACTTTATTTATATTACTCTTTCTTTCATGATAATATTATATCTCACATCTCAAAACACTTTTAAAGTTGTCCGATTCTCTCTATTTATTAAAATACTTTTAGATTATATGCACAATAAAGTTTTTTGTAATTATTATTTTTATTTTTAGATTGAAATGAACTTGAAGAAGCAGAACCAATTCAAGAACATCAATAACGGACATTCAAATACAATTGTGACGATATCGTGATGAGGGATCACGTGATAGAAAGAAAATATACGATTCACTTGAGCTGCATATGTCCCGAGCAGTATCTGAACTGAAAGTCTTTGAAATGTAAAGAACGTCCAGAAAAAGAGCCAACAGTCATATTAAGCTATATCGTACTGAAGCAAATTTCTTTTTTAACCTAAAACGTGTTTCGTTTTTACCTAAGATTGCTGTAAAGTAAAATTCGTTCTGCATTTAAGTTAGCTCACAAAGTTAAGATTTTATATTCAGGTTTTCACAATTTTTTAAGTTAGCTCATAAAAATGTTCATATTTATGTTTCTGATGAATTACGATTTATTAATCATAGGTATAACTGAAATAATTTTCATGAATTTGTACAGTAAACAATTAATGTAATAATTATAATATAGTACAAAAATTCTTTAAAAAATGTATCCGAAGTCGATACTAGATTTTTGCAGCCCGGTGCAATCTCTGTGGCTTCATATATTCTCCTTCCCTTCCCGTATCTATCTAAATTCTAAATATTCTGCCACCCTTAAGAATCCAGTCGACAGATGTGGCCCGTGCACTTGAAGCTACTACACCGGCTATGGCGCCGTTCTTTCTGTAACCTTACTCGTAAAAATCAGGTAACAGTTGGTTCGTATTCAGTAACAAGAGAAATTGCTTCTGAAAATGCATTTTGTATTTTGTGTATGTTTTAAGCAAAATTTTCTTTATAAAATCTTATGCGGAATTTTAGTATATATTTTGTACATAATAATAACTTACGAAAAATTTAGACATCACGTTTATTAACATTTGTAAAACTTTCATTTCAATTAAATACATATGTGCGACATATATCATTTGTATATAAAATATAAATGTGCTTATGTTTATACAATATATTGGAATATGTACATATTTATTGTTATGTAGATTCCTATATTAATTAGTAAAGCTCAAATGTGAGCATATATGTATTTTGTTTTGTTTACATATATTGTATTCCTCTTTAAATTCATATAAAATATTAAATAAACTTTAAATATTGTATAAGTTATATAAATTATCCTCCTATTTCAAATTATAAGGAAATTGGTAATGAATCAAAATCATTATATAGAATATATGAATTTAGACTTTATAATACTGTAATATTGTAATGAAGTTTTTACATTTTACAACAATTTGAGTAGTGTATTTTAAGAAATGATGAAATTACAAAGAACGATTAGACACTGCTTCCCAAACCTTTTCACTTTTTCATGGTCCGCCACTTCTTACAAGTCTAAATAATTTCATGATACACGCCATAAAGGAGCATTGTTCTATTAACGTAATTAATTTCGTCTGTTTCTTGCTAGTGAATCAATTAATAATTAATATTTATTTGCATTATAATATATAAGAATTCCATCTTACGACATACGTTTCAAATAAGGCTTTTTCTGCAGTCTCAAGAACAAATAAGTGAAACAAACGGAATGAAGATGCTTAATCCATATATTTTCTGTAACTCACATTTAATATAGCTTTTATATTGCATTTATGAACTAAATTGTTAGATCAGATTGAGTGAAACATTTATTAAATTTACAGAACACATATTTCTAAAACTATGATGTGAAACTTAATTACACACAAAAGAATAACCAACCGTATGTAAATATGCTTTTAATAATAATTTAATGACTAAACATTTTAAATATTAATGTAAAGTTCTACAATATCCTCTGTCGTATTAATTCATATATTACCTTCTTATCTTAGTGAAATAGTTGTGCTTGATTCTGTGAACATAATTTTTTTTTTTTTTTTTTTTTTTTTTTTTGTGGTGGTGGTGGTGGTATTTGGCTTGTGTATGATAGAAAGAGGTACATGCAATTCGTAATTAAGACTTGCGAATAGTCTTAATTACGAATTGTAATTAAGACACTACAATAATGGTTCTATGATGATATCTTTAACTTTTTGATACTGAATTTCTAGAACAAGAATAAAATTTGTTCAGATATATATATAGAGAAAGAGAGTAACAAATAATAAAATAATATTTATTTTTTTTTTTTTTTATGCTTTTTCGCCGATGAATGGAATTTTTTTTTTTTTTTTTTTTTTTTTTTTTTTTTCTTTTTTTTTTTTTTTTTTTTCACTTTTTTTCCCTGTTTTTCAGAATTGAGGTTATAAAATATCTTTAAACTTAACTTCAAGGATAACATTATTTTTAAGTCTAATAACTCCACCTTTATTTCGCTAATAAATCGAATATCATATGATCCGGTAAAAATGCAAATGGATTTCGAACCCTGTCAAATTTATCCGTTCTCATTAATACAAAATACGATAAACACTCTCAAGCTTACATAGGTGTTAATCTAAAAGTTCTAGTATTTTTATTTATTTTATTTTATTTATTTATTTTTAAGCTATTATAACTGTAGCACCGTCCAACATATTAACGACTAAAACATTTCAAGAGAACCATTTTTCGTCACGTCTTTTAATTTTGTTTGTTAAGTTAAATTTTGTTCTTAATCCATTAATTTTATTGGTACAAGTTAATGCATTCTCAGGCGATCCTTGCATTTTTCAATTGAATTCCTCTGGGTAATTCAAACATGTCGTCTAAGTAAGCCTTATTCTGCAACCAGTAATTGTCTTTCCACTTGGCTAAATACTGAAATTTACCTTCAAAAATATTTTTAATTCTTCGTTTAACTTGCAGCGGACCACAAAGAGATGAGAGAATTGTGTGTGCGGTCACCTAGTCACTGTTTTTAAGCTGTTACGATGTGCCAGATGACATGGTCTGACATCGCAGATGCAGTAATTCGTTCCGGTTGACAGTACCAGAGACATAACTTCACGACCAGTGTCAAGAAATTTTAGCGTTCTGCACTGCATCTGTCGTCAAAGCCTCTCGATTTCAGGAAGGCTGACGATCCAATGATCTTCTTTTTCTTCTGATATCGTTCCAGATATAACGAATCAGAGGATGTAAAATACAACTGAAAAATTAAGGAGACGTGGCTAATTCAGTTTGCAGATTGTTTCCAGCCGAACAACACGCCAAAATGCTCTGAAACTCTGGACTATAGAGACTAGAGTTAACAGGATCCTCACGTAACGAGGACTATAACTTCACTACAATAATGGTTTTATACTTTCCATGTTATTATATATATATGTAATATAGATTCTCATAATTTGTAATAAATATGTTTGAGTTCAAAATGCAGTAGATATTACGCAACCTCAACAAATGTACTAATACTTACATGGAGTCAGCGCAAACTGGCTGCCACAAGCTCACGAAATGGGGTTACCACAAACTCATAAAATGGGGACAGAATTCTCCCTCTTGACAGTCAACTACTTCAGTACTAACTTCAGTACGAAACAACAAAAACTGATGTTTTGATGTTATTTCATCTCACAAATTTCAAAAGACCTGACTGAAATGGTATACTTTCGATAGGTTTACTATTTCTATAATGACAATAAAAAAGACTTTAATTCTAGAGGTAAGCTTCGAAGGTAATCCTCCTTAGTTAACTTGACTAAGGAGTTAACAGTCCCGAAACTGAAGGTCTAAAGAAACCTTTTATTTCAAACTCAACAATTTCACGGTTTGTGCTTACAATTTAATTTAAGCGTTTGATAGTTTCTAGTAATATAAAAAGAGAGTTCAAATTTAAAGTAATTTAACACTGGAGACTTAAAAATAAAAGCCCATCGAGCGTTGGCTCAATTTATTCAAATTTGCACGAATATCTCGGCTAATAAAAGCTAATCACCTATAAACTTATTCTCACAGCTGAGCGAGGAAACAGTCTAACAGTCAGTGTCACTACAGTTCTCCCTCTGCATTCAAGGACTTTCTTTTCCTACATGTGCGTATCTCATTTACATCCTTTTGAAAACTGATGAAAAGCAGAAGTGTAATATAATTAAAATGCACTAAATGCCGCCTAGTGTGATCGCGTTTGTTCACGACTATCTCGATAACATAAGATGATGGGGAAAAATGCTCTTAAAAATAGGGGAAAATCAAAAATTGGAATTACTCATTAATTAAACTGAAATAGTCAATTAAAATGTCAAATTAAAAAAATAGTAAAATGGTTTTGGTTTTTTTGTTTTCGATATTCATAGTAATTAATTGTCCATTACTGCGTAGGGATTTTTTTCAAACTTTTGTAATTATTTAAGATCTAAATTCATATTTTATAAAATGGATTAGAAAATTTTAAATTGGAATAGGGATTTGTTCAAAAATGCGAAACGCGATCTTAAAAAATTCTTTTTGATTGTGTAGAGAAATTCCAGTTCTCCCTGAAAAGTGGGGATCTTTCTGTGATGTCAACAATGATTCTCTCGTTTTAATTGCTTAAATTAACTTTTTATTAACTTGACATTTTAATGACCTATTACAGTTTAATTAATTACAAATTCCAATTTTTTATTTCAACGTTAGTACACATTTACTAAAATTACACTTCACAATTTCCTAGGAGCTCATTTTTCATTTATTCATTTATATATTCTCTATTAAATTATACATATATATTATATATATATAATTAAAAAGCTAGGTAGTAAGTACTATATAAAAAGACCAATTTGGTCTAAACTTTTTTGCGCCATACGCTGCAAAATTAAGAAAAAGAGAAGAAGATAAATTGTAGTCGCTCGCCAAAACGTTACCAGGAGTTGTGGCTCCAAGAATATATATATATATAATATATATATATATTTAACAAATATTCTCTCATTCGTATAAAGGTAACTTAAAGCTAATTTAATTTTGAATTATGAAAATTTAATTGTATACAATTAAAAGATTAACTATTCCGGAGAACTAATTTGCAATATCATTTAAACTCAGAGAGCATATGTAAATTAAGTGCAAGTATCTAAAACAATGAAAAAATATTTAGTAATCCAAAAAATTAATACTAAAAATTTAAAGAATCTAAAACTAAATTAATTTCTATAAAGTGAATAGTTGTTGAGCAGGCAGGAGACTGATCTTTCCAAGGGAAAGTTGCCTCCAAACTTAACTCTTCAATTAATTAATTTCGTGTTTCGTCATCCATATAGGTATGGGTAAAGTATTATTCAAAACCAAAAGTAAAAACCAAATGTAGTGAATTGTTTAAATAAAAAATTTTAACTATTAAAGAATTTCGAGAAATTTAGTAAGCAAATTGACTAGGAACTCTTATTTAAGTAGAATTACTTGGCATGGAAAAGAAAAAAATTAAATAAGTGTATAATAGGTGTCCTTTGTACTTAATTTTTTTTTACAGAATTTTAATTTAGGAAAAAATATGAGGAACCATGTCTTCGCATTTTTTAGATAGAAAAAGATTGTTATTCTAATTATGAACAGGTATTCATGTCTTAAATTCTTAAGGTTTAACACTTTTATGCTAAGATAGTATACATAAGTTCTAAATACATTTCATTTAAATATTTTAAGTAAAATATATTATAGAACAAACAGTGAATACTCTCTAAAACTCATGGTTCCAGATGATTTTCGATGAAGATAACAGGTTTATACAGCAAATGTTAAATTTTGTTTTTATAAGTACAAGTCATTTTCAGAAGCGCTTGCCTCGAAAAAATCTCTTATAGTCGTATTCAACTGTACTGTGAAGATATCTTAATTAGTGTCATTCAAAAATAAATTTTTCACGTGGAATTGTTCCATTTTGTTTGATCCATATAATTAATCCTGACAATTTTTTTCTTTATCCTAATGTAAAAACTAAAATAAACACATTATCATAACATACTAGATTAATTTACTGGTGTTTAGTAGGGAAAAAGATCATATATAATGCACATGTTTTATTTTACAGTTATTAAAATTGAATTTAGTAGCTCTTCATCATCCTTTTCGTTTTCTTGGTCATCTCATTCCTTTCTTTTTATAACGATATGAGCTATATGTATAAATTGGTGGTAAAGGTGTAAAATAAACGCAGCCAGATTCCTTTTTCTTCCCCTGGCAACTTCTTTCTAAGTATGGAATCTA